GAAAAAAAAAACGTTCCCCTGCAGGTGAGACGGGCAGCGGGGTGAGCCGCGACGAGTTCATCTCGGGGGTGGCGCGCGACATCCAGGCGCGGCTGCCACTGCCGTTCGAGCTGGGCCAGACGCGCAAGCGGCTGGGCGCCGTGCTGTCGCCCACGGCCGTCGTGCTGCTGCAGGAGATGCAGCGCTTCAACGCGCTGCTGCAACGCATGGCACGCTCGCTCGCCGAGCTGCAGAAGGTACGTCCGGTGATGGGGCAGCATTTGGGAATAATTCGCGGGTGGTTTTATTCGTCCACCGCGCGTCGTGTTTTTTAACGGAAGGTTCGACGAAAAAATACGTCGGATTAAGCAACTTTTTCCAAGATGCGTTTTATCTTTGGAGTCTTTAGTATAAGTATGAAGTCGACAGGTAGGGTGTGAGAGCAACATATCTTTGCGTATTTGCAAAGAGTTATTTTTGCTCTGGTGTGTGTCTCCACATTTTGGGCATATCTTTGTGGGTGGTTTTCAAGAGGCAAAGTCCCTCATAGCATTCTCCATCAGGTTAACGAGAGTTATTGAGTCCCCCTTCATGGATGGACGGCCGGCGAGAGCTTATGCATAAACACTTTTAACCTTAGTTGGAAAGCATACAAAATAATCTCTCATAGATATATTTACTTAAGTGTCCTTGGATTAAATCTTGACTTAAAGCTTTCGTGACTGCAGGAATTCATATTCTTTGGGTCTTTCGGTAAAGTCACGTAGGTAGGTTCAAAGAAAATAACAAAAAGCTACGACGTTTCGATCGCAACACAAGTGGTCGTCATCAGGAAAAGCGGGGGGGGGGGGGGTCCCTTTTCCTGGTGACGACCGCTTGTGTTGCGATCGAAACGTCGTAGTTTTTGGTTATTTCTTTGAACCTATCTACGTGACTTTACCGAAAGACCCAAAGAATATGTCCTAGGATTACCAACAAGTGTTTGAAGCTTCTCAGTACATTCCTGTCTAATTATTAAGAGCGTTTGAAACTCGGAGTATGGCCACTAGAGATGAGACGTTTGCCTCTTTGTTTATTTCCTCCCGTCGCCTCTGCTTGTCGCAGGCACTGGCGGGCGAGGTGGGGATGAGCGGGGAGCTGGATGAGGTGGCGCGCGCCCTCTTCAACGGGACGATCCCGGCCATCTGGCGTCGCCTGGCTCCGGACACCCTCAAGTCTCTCGCTAACTGGATGGTGCACTTCCACCAGCGGCACCAGCAGTACTCGGCATGGGTAGGCCAGCCCGTTTGCTTGTTTCCATACAATTTAAAATGAGGTAAGAGCCCATTGGGGTAGAGCAGTGGCACAGTGGTTAACTCGCTGCATTAAGAACCCGGCTACCTGAGTTTGATTCTAAGCCACAGCTAACATCAGTGGTGAGTGATAGACTGTATAAAGTGATCGTGTGCCCACTGCCTACAGCAAAGTGCGCGAAGAAGCATGGTGAAGTATGGTCAAACAACCACGATGATTTACATGACGTTTGGAGACCTTTGTCCAGCAGTGGATTGACGGCGCTGTAAATATAAAGACCAATGTAGACCAATAGAGGTTTGGGCTTCAGCATGTTGATGCTCTACTTGCTGTAGGCTTCTTTGAATATATATAATGTACATATCCCCTTGGGCTCTTGTTTACAAATTCTGAGCATGATCGCATTGCTCATTGTGTACATGTGTGTATGTGGAGAGCAGTGGTGTAGCGGCTTGCGTGCTGCGCGGCAAACCCAGCAATCCGAATTCGATTCCTGCTCACCTAGGGATGGCCATCCCTGGGTGACTCAGCCTCAAATGAGTACCTGGTGCAGTGTGTAAACAACTCCATTTGTGAGACAAAGGCGGTCTGGCGTGGTGCTGGCCACCCACCCCCTCATGTGCCGTGCCGGTCTTCATAGGTGCTTGCTAACAGCACTTGCCCCAACAGTCTGTTAAGGCTATCAAGGGATCTTTGTCTTTTGTCTTTGTGATGGTGCGCGTCAGGTCGAGGACGGGGAGCCGACCGTCATGTGGCTGTCTGGCCTGCACATCCCCGAGTCCTACCTCACTGCGCTGGTGCAGGCCACGTGCCGCAAGAACGGCTGGCCGCTCGACCGCTCCACGCTCTACACGCAAGTCACGACCTTCCGCGGTCCCGAGGAGGTCACCGAGCGGCCCGGGCAAGGTCAGCGATGCAGCCACAATTACCACGCTCACTGCCGCCGCTTGAAGCTTTAAATGCGACGAACTTCTCTCGTACAAAAATTCGAGGGATTTTGAATATCACAAAAAAAATGGACGAATACAAATTAATGTTAATAATATTGTTTTTTATTAGTTGACACAATTCAGGGGTCTTGGCTGGGATGCACAAATATTATTGTTTTGCCATTGTGATGAATGTAGCACCTCTAGAGGCTAGAGCAGTGACGCTGTGGTCAGCGCACTTTGCTATGAACCCGGTGACCCGAGTTCGATTCGTGGCTACAGCTCAAATTAGTGGGGGGTGATATCTGAACTGCACTATGCTACTGACCAGCAGGAGCATAGTGTGGTTGGCATGGGTCCGGCTGCAAGGAATGAAATGGGCCCGCCACTGCCAAATTTCCCACCTCTTCGTATTCCAGCTCCTGGACTCCTTTAGTCAACATGCCCCGGTTCAGTTGCACTGTCTGCATGCTCAATAGCTATGCCCCTGGTGAACAGTATGGTGAAGTATGGTCAAACAACTCCCACGATCGACAAGGTTTTGATGAGGCTTTAATCTAACGGTGGATTTACTCTGGGTTGTGCATTCAGGGACCACTAAGTGTTAGTGTTGTCTGTGGCACAGGGTGCTTCGTGTCAGGCCTGTTCCTGGAAGGCGCCGACTGGGACGTGGAGGCCAGCTGCCTGGTGCGGAGCAAGCCCAAGGTTCTGATGGTGCAGCTGCCGGTCCTCAAGATCATCCCCATCGAGTCGCACCGCCTCAAGCTACAGGTGCGTCACATTGCTACGCGAACCGAACATCCCTCGCCTGCTGCTGTCATTGTCCTCGTAAATGTAATTTCTTCTTCAACAAGATTGACTGTGGCCTCCCTTCCGTATTGAGTTCAGCTTCTAGGTTGCAGGATCGTACATTTGTCTCCCTCATTCTTCCCTTGCACTGGCCAACTTTGGAAACTTCCTCCTGTCGTTTCGTTATGGAAAGTTCCTGTATGACCTCGCTCGACGCTGGCCGCTATACCTGTGCCGTGCAACTCCGGTTGGGAAAAAAAAAACCACAAGCACTCTTACATCGTGTTGTGTTATCACACCATGTCCACTGCACACACACCGGGCAAAATGAGTTGACTGTCCCCATTGCCATCTGCTTGCGTGCCACTGCATGTACACACACATAAGTACACACACACATGCTAATGCAAATGATACACTGCACGAGTTTTTTTTATTAAAATTAAATAGCGCTTACACATTTAGTGCTACCTCACATTCAATTATGCTTGATGCTCTGGCCTGCTAAGTGCATGGCTCGTGTCTTGCTAATTTAATTTCAGTCCGGGCCCAATTCAATAGTATCCACATATAGCTTACACCCCATTGCTAAGCCAGCTGTAGTCCGCTGGTTATCCACGGACTCCTCGCATAATTATTGTCACGGGTGGCGGCGTTTAAGCGACTCTTACCAGCTGACTGGCACGCACTTATTTTTGTTCACAGAGCACGCTCCGGACGCCAGTTTACACGACATCCACGCGCCGCAACGCTATGGGCGTGGGCCTGGTGTTCGAGGCCGACCTCTTCACTACAAAGCACCCATCCCACTGGGTGCTGCAGGGCGTCTGCCTCACCCTCAACTGCGACTAGGACCCCAGTTGTGCATGACGCCGCCCCGATGCACAGTCTCCCCCCTCGGTGCAGATGTTTGCCCCCTCGCTCTTCTTATCTTATCCAGGATTTTGTAGAGCGCTCTTGTCAAAGACCTTTACAAGAATTACAAATTATACATTAGTATTGGTGGATGCGGAAAAGGGAGGGGATTTGAGTGTTGGGGAGGTGATGTTAAGGAAGGGTGATGATAGGAAAAGGGAGGGGCGAGGTTAGGAAGGGGACGGGGGGAGGATAATAAAGGTTTTACGGGCGAGGACAGGAAGTAGAGGGATACGCCGTTCATCGTGATACATGCTACTGCGCTCGTCGCGGTGGCCGGGTGGCGCAGAGGAGCCAATGCCGTGTTCAGAACAATGTGACGGTGGTACTGCTGAGATCCTGGGTTTCGGAGCCTGGGTTTCAGCCTCCTGTGATCAAACCAGGTTCTCAAGTGCAGAGATAATGGTCTCTGCCCATTCACCAATGACGAGTAAAAAAAAACCACCCTATCATGTTAAATTGTTTTTGACTTAATTCAGTGCATTTTCCAGCTTCAACGGCTAAAAAACATATTTGCCATGCAAAAAGCATATCCTGTAGCAGGCCAATATGCAAGGATACTTAATTAGTATGTCTGTCATATCATCTTCCAAAGGTCTTTCTCTAACATGGGCAGATATACTGCTTTCTGAGAGTTCCGAATGTAAATTTGCGTCGCAACATGACACCGATAGCATAATTGGAACCTAATTCGGAAAAAACAATCCTGCACTCGACAAAGTGCAATAACTCAGACTGCAATGGCCAGAGTTCATTGTATTAGTCCCCTGAAGCCAGAATGTAAAGCATGCATTTTCAAAAGCCCAACTACCCACTTATGACCCTTTCAAATAACGCACTTTTGCAAATGTATATTGTAAGGCTGGCTTGTACACAAACAGTAATGTTGTGTATGTTCTTTTTGTAGCTTTGTACGGTAGTAGTAATTTTATCCTCTTTCACGTAACAATATGTTTTTATTATTTCCGCTGCAGTCTTCATCAGTGCTGTGTGCGTGTGTGAATCATGCCTTCTAATACAAATGTAAATCATGTCGCAAGGTGCTGTGTTTAGAAGACATTGCAAAAAATCATAAACTCTCACAAGCAAAATGTGTAAGGCGTTGGCTCTTTTTATTTTGAATCATTTTTAAATTATCATCACCATTATCGTAATGTTTTGTAATTATTATTTACTACGTAGCATACAGCAAATCATGAGTAGGTAAAAAACGTGTCTAGGTCGACTTAAATAAAGAATTAGATTGACCGGGCGCTGAAACGGAGGCGTAGAGATCCCAATCGGCGTGAGAAACGGCCACGTTGCATACCGCGCCAGGGCTTAAGTGGCACGCAATTTCTGCCCTTCACGCCTTTGCTAGCGATACCCGGGTAGTGCAAGGAACCTGGGAGTCCATTATTTACAAGCTCACTGCGTGCCGACTTTGCAAGGAGTGAACGGAAGCATTGTAAGGCCATCGGGCATCAATGCTACATTGCAGTGAGCGTCGAAAGGACGGAAAGATGAAACGTACTGAGAGCGTTCCAAAATGTCAATTATAACCTGCAAAGCATGCGACGGCTTTGAGTTTAATATTGTCAGAAATAAATACAAACAGATAAAAACAACACGAACGCTAAAATAATTAGTCATGAGCTGCAGCTTTCAGTCAATTTAAGATATTTGTCTTTTGGTGGAGTAACAATTTTCTAACTTGTATATGACTCCACCTGGTTCCCCTTAGCTCCAGCACAATGAAGGATTTACCTTTGTGAGAAGTTGTGACAGAATGTTGGTTACTGGGATATACCTATAGATGTTAGCGTTAACTTATGAGAATCTTAGCTCACTTAATATACCCAGGCACAGCAATGTAACAAAATATGACGGCTCAAAAGAAGACATCTAGCAACACCCACAAATCTGCCAACGCAAGAAGTTGATTATCTAACTGCATCGAAAATAACGAAAAACATTAAAACAGGCATCAGTGCAACGGCTTCAAAATATTAGAAAAAAATCATGACAAAAATAAAAACAACTCAAAACGTTGGATTCAAAGATCAGGTCAAACGTATAAAAAGATGTAAGTGCACAAGGGACTGGCATAAAGTTAACCATGGGTCATGCTAAATGACAAAGCCTCAGCCCTCTCAGATCACGTTTTGCTCTCACCTTAAGTGGCAACGTCCTTCTATCTACAATGAAGCCACAGTAATAATAAAAAGCATCTCCTCACCACATAGCATTGGCCATTTTAATCGCGTGGCAATGCGGTTGTATTACCATGAAATACGGCGGCTCTTGGAGATCTGGGAAGGCTGAGGTGACGGGGATGAGGGACACGGCGGCGAGGCGAGGGATAGAGGGGATGAGGGACGGGAACGGCAGGGGGGGGGGGATGACAGAGGGAGCTCGTGGGGAGCAGCTCACACGGAGCGGTCCGTCTCTCCGCGCGCGAGGAGCACGCTCGCGCCGTTCAGCGGCTCCACGGCCAGGGTGTGAACCTCCGGCGCCGTCGGTCCGGGAGGCGCCGCCTGGGCCGTGCGGCGCCTCGGCCGCGCCCCCGTGCGCGCCGGAGAGATGGGCGGGATGAGCGCCGGCCGCAGCTCGAGAGGCGCGCAGGGCGGCGGACGCCTGGGCGGCGGCGGCGGCGGCAGCAGCAGGAAAGGCGCGGGGTCCGGCATGCCGTCCCCGTCGCGTCGCGCCACGGACGCGAATCCCGCATCCCTCCGCGTCGTCGCCGCCGCCGCCGCCGCCGGCGTCGCTTCCAGCTCGGATTCGTCGAGGACGCCCGCCGTCGGGCTCATTCGCACCGATCGCCGTCGCACGCTCTCGGCGGACCGCTGCCTTGCAGACGACGGCGGCGGCGTCGGAGAAAACCTGCCCGCGGACACAAAGCCTCAGTTGGAGCCGCGAGCGCTGCGAACGGACGGCCGTGGGGCAATTGCTTACGGAAGCCGCCGCAATGACCGACGAGAGCCGTACCTCTGGGAGAACGCAACTTCCCGAGCGTGGACTCCTGGGCCTTGGCTATCGCGCTTTCTCGCCGTCTCCGCGGCCTGTATGGACGGTTGGTTGACGCTGATTTGGCGCTTGGCAGCATGCAGCTGTGATGTGAGGTAAGCGATGGTGCTGCCCTTTTGCTCCAACTCCCGTGACAGCGCGCTCAGCTTGTGGCTCTTGGCGCGGAGTTGCTCCAGGTACCGCCGTTCGCGCTCGCTGGCGCCCGCCTTCAGTGCCAGCAGGTGGGCAGTCGTCTGCTCCAGCTGGTCACTGAGTGAGCGATTCTCCTGCTCCTGTGCCCGCAGTTTGGCTTCAAGCTCCTGGTGGCGCTGTTGCAGGTCTCCTTCGGCAAAATGGGTGGAACATTCAATTCCATTTCATAGCGTTGCTGGACAGGGTCAGCATGCACGCAAGCCGTATAATAATTCACAAACTAAAATCGATTCGTACGCCCACAATAAGTGCACAGCATCGCGCACGTCAAAAAATACATATTTTTAGATTAAAATTATATGTGCAGTTATGCTGATGTCGCTTTAGTTTAATATAATTAATTACAAACATAATTCGTTATCTACAGAGAAAAAAAAGACACCAAAGTTTGAGCACTTTATTTCAGAAGGGTCCTCTCCCTCGGGATGTTGCGCCAACACAACCCTCTCTCACCTCAACACGATTGCTTGTGTTGCGATCGAAACGTCGTGATATTTTTTATTATTTTTATATCTACGTGGCTTTACCGAAAGACCCATAGAATATTTATTCCTGCAGTCCACGAAAGTTTTAAGTCAAGATTTAACTGCCATATGCTTTTATGTATGGGAGGAAACCGCAGAACCTAGAAGGAAACACAAAAAGAAGCTATACAAACATTATAAATGAGATGGGACCAATTAGACAAAATAATGATTCTTTGATTCTCATTGCTACCTGGAATTGTGAAAATATAATAAAAAGTAAAACATAACGTGTTATTTGACATACACGGTGCCCTGGGTGGAAAAAAACAACACACCTCTAAGGTTTATAACTGGGAGAGCAGGTGGTCTATGTCTCTCTGGGTCTCGTGTCTCTCTATGTCTCTCTGTATCTCTCTATGTTTATCAGTGTCTCTCTGTATCTCTCTATGTCTCTCTGTATCTCTCTATGTCTCTCTGGGTCTCTGTGTGTCTCTCTGTGTGTCTCTCTGGGTCTCTCTATGTCTCTCTGTATCTCTCTATGTCTCTCTGGGTCTCTGTGTGTCTCTCTGGGTCTCTCTGTTTTCTCAGTGTCTCTCTATGTTTATCAGTGTCTCTCTGTATTTCTCTATGTCTCTCTAGGTCTCTGTATCTCTATGTCTCTCTGGGTCTCTGTGTGTCTCTCTGTGTCTCTCTATGTTTATCAGTGTCTCTCTCTGTATCTCTCTATGTCTCTCTGTATCTCTCTATGTCTCTCTGGGTCTCTGTGTGCCTCTCTGTATGTCTCTCTGGGTCTCTCTATGTTTTCTCAGTGTCTCTCTATGTTTATCAGTGTCTCTCTGTATCTTTCTGTCTCTCTGGGTCTCTGTGTCTCTCTGTGTGTCTCTCTGTCTCTCTATGTTTCTCAGTGTCTCTCTATGTTTATCAGTGTCTCTCTGTATCTCTCTATGTCTCTCTGGGTCTCTGTATCTCTATGTCTCTCTGGGTCTCTGTGTGTCTCTCTGTGTCTCTCTGGGTCTCTCTATGTTTTCTCAGTGTCTCTCTCTGTCTCTCTATGTCTCTCTGTATCTCTCTATGTCTCTCTATGTTTCTCAGTGTATCTCTGTATCTCTATGTCTCTCTGGGTCTCTGTGTGTCTCTCTGTGTGTCTCTCTGGGTCTCTCTATGCTTTCTCAGTGTCTCTCTCTGTCTCTCTATGTCTCTCTGTATCTCTCTGTGTCTCTCTATGTTTCTCAGTGTATCTCTATGTCTCTCAGTGTTTCTGTTTCTCGGTGTCTCTCTGTGTCTTTATATATTCCTCAGTGTCTATATTTATGTATTTTTCTCACTGTGTCAATGTTGCTGCGTACCTCCATTTGTATCCCGAGTACATTTTTGCTATCCCTCGCAGCTTTGCACCACCCTCAGTGGCCAACCCCGGTTGCCCACCGCTAATGTTAAGGCAGGGCGTGACCAAAAAGGCCTGAGATGACAACCCATCAGTGTGCGCAAGAGGAGAAGCAACTTTTGAAAGTAACAAAGGAAACAAAGAACTTAATTAACGTAAAATGTGCACATAAATAACTTGAAATGGCTACCAACGGGCAAAAAAATGCATTACTTAAAATGACCTGAAGAAATACACCTCGAAAAATTATGGGATTATTTTTGGCGATAGTGCAGATGCATGTTTAAAAAATAACTCGACACATTCATCAATATCACTTAAAACAGAAACATTTAAAATGAAATAACAATTTGGGCATCGCTGGTTTGAAGACGGGCTATTTCCCGAAACAGCCTAACATATACAGTGAGGGAAAAAAGTATTTGATCCCCTGCTGATTTTGTACGTTTGCCCACTGACAAAAAAATTATCAGTCTATAATTTTAATGGTAGGTTGATTTGAACAGTGAGAGACAGAATAACAACAAAAAAATCCAGAAAAACGCATGTCAAAAATGTTGTAAATTGATTTGCATTTTAATGAGGGAAATAAGTATTTGACCCCTCTGCAAAACATGACTTAGTACTTGGTGGCAAAACCCTTGTTGGCAATCACAGAGGTCAGACGTTTCTTGTAGTTGGCCACCAGGTTTGCACACATCTCAGGAGGGATTTTGTCCCACTACTCTTTGCAGATCTTCTCCAAGTCATTAAGGTTTCGAGGCGGACGTTTGGCAACTCGAACCTAAAGCTCCCTCCACAGATTTTCTATGGGATTAAGGTCTGGAGTCTGGCTAGGCCACTCCAGGACCTTAATGTGCTTCTTCTTGAGCCACTCCTTTGTTGCCTTGGCCGTATGTTTTGGGTCATTGTCATGCTGGAATACCCATCCACGACCCATTTTCAATGTCCTGGCTGAGGGAAGGAGGTTCTCACCCAAGATTTGACGGGACATGGCCCCGTCCATCGTCCTTTTGATGCGGTGAAGTTGTCCTGTCCCCTTAGCAGAAAAACACCCCCAAAGCATAATGTTTCCACCTCCATGTTTGACGGTGAGGATGGTGTTCTTGGGGTCATAGGCAGCATTCCTCCTCCTCCAAACACGGCGAGTTGAGTTGATGCCAAAGAGCTCCATTTTTGTCTCACCTGACCACAACACTTTCACCCAGTTGTCCTCCGAATCATTCAGATGGTCATTGGCAAACTTCAGACAGGCATGTATATGTGCTTTCTTGAGCAGGGGGACCTTGCGGGCGCTGCAGGATTTCAGTCCTTCACGGCATAGTGTGTTACCAATTGTTTTCTTGGTGACTATGGTCCCAGCTGCCTTGAGATCATTGACAAGATCCTCCTGTGCAGTTCTGGGCTGATTCCTCACCGTTCTCATGATCATTGCAACTCCACGAGGTGAGATCTTGCATGGAGCCCCAGACCGAGGGAGATTGACAGTTATTTTGTGTTTCTTCCATTTGTGAATAATCGCACCAACTGTTGTCACCTTCTCACCACGCTGCTTGGCAATGGTCTTGTAGCCCATTCCAGCCTTGTGTAGATCTACAATCTTGTCCCTGACATCCTTGGAGGGCTCTTTGGTCTTGGCCTTGGAGGAGAGTTTGGAATCTGATCGATTGATTGCTTCTGTGGACAGGTGTCTTTTATACAGGTAACAAGCTGAGATTAGGAGCACTCCCTTTAAGAGTGTGCTCCTAATCTCAGCTCATTACCTGTATAAAAGACACCTGGGAGCCAGAAATCTTTCTTATATGAGAGGGGGTCAAATACTTATTTCCCTCATTAAAATGCAAATCAATTTATAACATTTTTGACATGCGTTTTTCTGGATTTTGTTGTTGTTATTCTCTCTCACTGTTCAAATAAACCTACCATTAAAATTATAGACTGATTATTTCTTTGTCAGTGGGCAAACGTACAAAATCAGTAGGGGATCAAATACTTTTTTCCCTCACTGTACTGTATACATTTTATACAAGGAAAAGTTAACAAAAAAGGTGGTGAGTTTCTTTAACATTTGTGCTTATAATGAGTCTGTGTGCGACACCGAAAACCGTGTGCGGTGTCGCATTGCATAAAAACTGTCAGTCTCCGAGCTCCAAATAACGTGTTCACTCAGAGGTGCCCATTGGCCGAATTTTGCGATAAAACATCCCATTACTTTAAAGCATGCGTATGTTGTTTTCATGCCAGTTGCTCGCATTGAGCTTTCCCGGGACCCCGTGGGAGCTACTTTGGAATGATCTGAACAGCGGGCAGGCGTCGTTGAATAATGCATGCCGCAGCGCGCAGCAAGCGTGAATCATCCGCACAAGTCGTGTGAACTCCCACTGCCAAATACCCCCCCTTCGCCCCCCCCCAAGTACCGCAAGCATGCTGCATACAGCAGTCGAAAAAAACCCACGGCTCCCGTGCCGTGTAGCCAGCGGTCTTTTGGGAAAGGCGACTTCGGATCCGTAAAGGTGTCACAAGACTATGTTTTTAGACTCCCGGGCGACAGCGCAGCAACCCATTACCCGGCGTGAATTATTGATGCGACTGAAGGCTGCTGATGCGTAAGGCTACTTCCGCGTCCTGACATCATTCTCCTCCAAAAATAAAAATGGATCAACGGCAACGCGGGGTAATGTAGACATTGCCCTGTGCCTTGCCGCAGTCCAGCCCTGCCCATGCAGTGTTTTAGCCGTGCGCAGTGCTAGGACCGCATTATCCAATGGGCATAATAGGCACTGTCCCCAGCGCCTATAGGAACCTTAAACCGGCCCTGCGCAGTGCTGTAGCTGCTCCGTGCCTAATGCTTACAGTTCCACACCAGAGTAGATAACGATGCATTAGCGTTGCTGGTTATCCAAAGTAAAATCGATCCGTGTCATTTTAAAACGATTCCCCTACCCCCCCCCCGCCCAGATGTATTATTATTACAATAATTAATTTGTTATTAAGTTACGCCATTTTAATGCTTCATTTATTGATGGTGTTGTGCTGCAAGCATTTGAGAGTAGGAGTCTTGCACAGGGCCAGTGGTTTGTAAGCGATGCGCACTGTAAGCGTGCAGTATTTATTTCACGGTGACTAATCTACGTTAAAAGTGATACGAATCTGACAACAGAGGCTCCCTAGTAAGGCGGGGCAGCTGCAACGATACCGCCACCGGACCATTAGGAAAATCAATTTGTAATCCAGCGACCTCGGAAGGATAAAACGTGGCACCACCGACGGCCATCGCAGAAATGGATCTCACCTGGCTCATTTTCAGACTTGACTTTTGCCAACTGAAAGGTCAAATCTGCAGAGAGAATGACAAGCATCAGTCACGACATGCGCTTCAGTGAAAGGAAGGCCCATCAAGTTGTCCGAGCGATACAATTGTCCATTAGTTCCTGCTGGCTCTTGTAAAAACTACAAACTAAACGATTTTTTATTTTACCAGGTAAGGCCCACTGAGCTATATAGCTCTTTTTCAGAAGTGATCTGGCTACAAATGATAGCTCAATGAAGTGGCTTATACTGTGAAAATGTATAGCAGCCAAATACTCCAAACGCATGTTTCTAAATTTGGAGGGAAAAAAGAGAAGACACAGAAAAATCCACGTGACCATGGGGAGAACACGCAAACTCCAAATACACAGCAGGCGTAAGGGTGAGGATCGAACCCACGACCTTCTGTATACTGGGCAAGGTAATTAACATCTCGCCACCATGGCACCCATTGTGAGTGTTGAGTGCACCCTTACAAGTAACTATTCCTATCTCTACAACTACATCTATAAATAACTATAACTATCTCTATAAATGAATGACAATGTAGAAAGGGCAGTCAAAATGTGAGAATGAGATCAAGTGAGATACTTTTTTTTGGGGATATATCGAAGGCCTAAAGTTACATTCCAGTTGTACAATACATGATCATACGTCAAGAGTGTTAACTATTGCGAAAATGTACGTCAAAAATGTTAATGTGGTCTCATAATGTTAAGACTGCCAAAAGGTTATGTTTTCACTTTAAGTACACTCCCGATACACACTTGCCGATCCTACCAGATTTTTACACGGTAAGCTCCCGATTTTCTCTTCGACCACAACCCGGTTTGCAAAGCAGAGCATACCACTTTATAAATTCCAAAAGATATTTGTCGCAATTTTTCGTGTAAAAAAAAAACGGCGTGCGATGAAGGCGGTTTTACAAATCGGCAGCCTGATGCAGCCCCACGGCAGACGATGACAACTGTGTTATCGTAGTCGCCCAATCCCTGCTCAGCTTCCGAGACTGCACGAGATTACGCACGTTCCGGGTGAGGTGGTCATGAGCTAAATAGTCACGAAGCTATTGTGCATGGGCAATAAGTAAATCGGTGATGCTTTCGAGCCCCTTGATACTTCAGTATCACAGATTTATTTACAAGGCTGATAAAGAGTGAATTTTATGAGTCACTAATTTCAAATGGTTATCTCATAATTCACTGTTGTTGGCCACGAAAATAAATTGCAGCAGTTAAAGTTATGCCACCGTAAGTGGCACCGTCAAGTGAATTATTTTTTTAAAATGTAAATCTCATCAGGCCCCATGGTGGTGCCAAGTGCAGTCTCCAACTCGTATAATCCACTCGAACGCTCTCGCCTCTCTATTTACGTGCTATGAAGTAAAGCCAAGGCCACAGTGTTATTGACGAATGTGTTTTCAGTGAAATGTCTGTTCTGTGCTCATGGACGATACTCAAAATGTTACCATGCACCAGAGCCCCTTTCATGGAGCACCTGTTCCCTAGTCCCCTGCTGCTGCCGCCCCCCACACCCAGTCCACCACCACCACCCCTGCTACACCCGGCTGACCTGTGCAACGCTGCTGCAGGCTGCGGATCTCGGTGTGAAGGCCCTGCAGGGTGGCGGCGTGCTCCTGCTGCAGGAACAGCAGGTTCCGCCGGGCGCTCTGCACCTGCATCTCGAGGGGCTGCAGCGCCGCCGCCGCCGCCATGGTGGCGACCCCTTTGTCGGGCACAAAGTGCGTGCGTGCGTGCGCCCGTCCTCCTGCAAGAATTAGACACCCACTTGTCGGTTGGCACGCACTGGCCGCGGCGCTGATACGCACGTTGGCGCCAGCATGTCTGACGTGGATCGTCGCCGCGGTCCTTGGACGCCTTCCCATAGATTTCAGCAAAAAAAAATAGAAAGCACCGGGGGTGAACTGGGAAGTTCGGCCCTCTGGCGCGATGCACCGCGCGCTGTTCGTGAAAACCTGCGGGAGCTAAACAAGCTCCCGGCACGTGGAGCGAAACGTTGGACATCGTGCCGAACATCGAGTGGTACGACTCGAAAAACGGACCGAAGAGCTGTACAGAACAAATGGCGAAAACCTAACGTGTGTCACTGAGAGCAGAGGACAGTCCATGCACCCGGCAGAGTAATTTTAACTTCAATAAATTACAAGGAGATGGTGCATAGCAACAGATGTTCTGTGCTTAAGAGGTCATCCGTTCACAATCCATTTCAAACCCACGTAATGAGGAATTAATCTGTTGATCCATCTCCAGATCGTCACACATCTGCAAATGCCTTTAAAAAATTTGTGACGTAAGAATCCGTGCCACTGCCTTCAGTGTCTCTTTATCAAGTCCAGCTTAGCATGCAATTGGCTCAGCGAGCTAAAACCAAATACCAAATCAGATGATTATAAGCAAACAACTAAGCAGTTGCTTGAAAGATCAGCAGTCACACGGTGAGTCTCGCGGTAGCGGTGATGGAGTGGGTTTGATCCGCTGCTCTCCGTGCACGTTTGGTAATCTCACATTCGCGCTGTGCGGCATTGGTGCTGTTCTTGCTGTGATGTAGACCCTGTGCTGCATTGTTAGGGATGGGCTAATGGGCCTTTGCGCTCAAATACAATTTCAGCCGCAACGTGACTGTTTCCCGCTGCCGTTCCGGTAATCACATTTCAGCTGTTGAGGCCCTGAGGGTAATAGACCGATGTGAACCCCATCTTGCCTCTCTCGGGCCTATGTGCCCATGTCTCTGTTTTTTTTATCGAAGGAAAACAGACGAAAAAAAGGAAGCTACCTACACGCATGGGTAATTTTTCGATGGACAGTACTCCCATTAACGTCAAGAAAGGTTTTTTTTTCTCCCCTAATTCCTTTATATATTTTTAGCAGAGACAGTTTTTATCCAACGAAAGGCATCCAATTTCGATGCGGGTGCAATGAATTCCAATGCTGGTTAATATAATGTGCCCACTGCTGTTAGGACATTCCAGGATGTGACAGTTAATTTAGCCAACGTGGAAGTGAGCAGCCTGTAAAAAAAATACACTCTCTCTTGATGTGATGTGAGAGGTGCTATTTGTCTTGCAGAGTTAAATTGAAATTCTTTGCCAGCGCACAAATAAAGCCGCTGTACGGGGCCTGGGCCGGTAAAGCGAAGCCAGTAACGCAAACAGCCAGCTCTCTCAGCCCGCAGCCTAACAAATGATTAATCCTGCGCACGCTGTGCAGAAAGGCTACTCAAGCGACCAGTCATATAACCTTCCCCAAGGCAAGCGCGTACTCTCCTCAAAGCGCTGTCAAATGGTTAAGCACTCGCCCGCATTAACGCTGCACTGCGTACGGGAGAAAGTGTGTAATGCTTCACACGGGCCCTGCATCGTGTCCGCACGACGTGCGCGCTAACGCGCCGGTGATGGACGCTGCAACTCCGCGCGAGGCGGTTTATTTTTCGTTGTCGGGGGGGTGGAGGGGTAACATCGAACGCGCTCGCTGAGTTTGTGAAAAACGAGCAAAATATTTAGGCTGAACCGCTGCAAGGGGTGTCTGACATCGGCCGTGCGGCAAGGACAAATCGGTGCGCTCGCAGACGTGCGCACGTCTTCTTTTCTCTCCCGCTCTCTCTTTGCGCAGCGTGCCGTAGGGGTACGGGAAACAACAGTGCAGTCACCATTAAGCCACGGCCGCCCTCTTTCCTCCGAGGAATTGGCATCTCCATTAGATCGGAGGAGAAAAAAAACCTCAGCCTTCACGGTTTGTGTTCATTTCCCATGGGAACCAGCTAAGCAGCCGAGGCAGTGCGGGTGGCAAAAGCCAAAGGTCTAGTCCTAAAAACCTTAACTGTCATTGTCTGATCCAGTTGAGGCAACACGCAGGCTGCCAGGTCTGTGGGGTTTTCAAACTGCGTGGACCTTGACATGTGAAATCTATTAGTGTGTTCCAAACATTTACGTTAAAGGGAGGTGGACAGGGGGTCAGTGGCTCCCCACTGGTGGCACCGAAAATAATTAAAAGTGCTCCTGAGGGGCTCCGGATCTCTTGGCTGCAATTCCTTGATCAAACGTGAGCCGCTGCCAGTCCTGGCACAAGGCAGCGGGCCATGGGTTTCCCTGTACGCCCATTCGTGGGTTTGTGCCGAAGATGGTATCGAACCATCTCGTCACCTTCTGCACGGGTGTGCGAAAGCTCCTAACACTCACGTGTTCTCCAAGCGTCAGCCCTTCAGCAAAATATTTTGCCAAAAGTACATCAGAAGCTCAGCACAGTTTTGATACATCAACACATGTGCTTACATTACGTTGACGTAAGGTGAAGGGCAATTCTGAAACAAGTGTGCTACTTTTCATATAAGCACAGCTGGACTTGCTCCCAAGGGGTGTACTTATAACCATCTTCTAATCAATCTGAAGAAGACTCCTTGTGAGCATCATCGGTATACTGTAGTGTGATGCAGTTGAGCCTAGCTGTATGGCCACATCTGTTGTTAATGCTTGCATGCCGTCTACATGTATTATTATTATTGCTAATATAACTTCAGAGCTATCAATAAGAGATCTGAGTGACCCCGCCACAAGCTTCGTGTAAACCATCGTGAGCTTGAGCTGCCGGCAGATTCCAGGGGAAACCGCCCGTTTCGTTTGCAACGGTCTCTCGCCGCAATTAGCGGCCGAGGTGCGTTTACAAAGCGAGTTTCTGTCGGTGTCATCTGTCAGCACACGCGTGCGGTGTTACCCGCCGCACGGCACACGTCCTGTGCAACACGCGGCACAGACGTGTGCTGTCCAGAATTTGTTGCTGTCGTGTTCTTTTGGGGAAGAGATCTCATGACAATGTAAACAATAATTAGCAGCATTTTGTCAATCCTCTAGTGGATGAGGGTGAACACCTCCTCATGTCATGGGGGGGTGTATGACCATACTTGACCGTATTGGTCAGTGAGGGTTTGCGTAGGGAGGGGCTCAGAAGTTAGCCGTGGCCGGGAATCGAACTTTGGAATTGGTGGGTTCATAGTGTAGTGCGCTAACCATTGCACCACCACCCACCTAACGCAACTTCCACGAACACGCAGGACGACTGAGGCGGTGGAATGTTGTATACCTTGTGTCCAACCATTACCAATTGCCACGTCTATAGCAGTATTCTAGAATGTGTGTGTTAAGTGTGGGTGTGGACAAGTCGACTGACGGAGTCACCTCAGTCCGTCGACCCCATGGCACCTGGGTCTGTCCCGTGACCTGCTAGCGGGCGTTCGACACTTTACGCGGCCTTAAAAGTGCACCTAGCTTGGCACAAGCGCCGTGGTGACGTCACCGCCACCTAGTGGCGAATAGCGGTTGTTGTGGACAAGTCCAGTGATGGAATTGGCGGCCAACGGATAGCACGCCCGGGAGGGCAACTACCACAGAGCTAGATAGCACGTCCGGGAGGGCAACTACCACAGAGCTAGATAGCAAGCCCGGGAGGGCAACTACCACAGAGCTAGAGCGATGAGATCAGGTCAGGGGCGGAGCTACAGGGGGCGGCTGGGGGGGCTCAGCCCCCCCTGAAATTTGGGGAAAGTCGGTAATCGGGATAACCGGATATCCGGCTGCTGCAAAATGCTGGCTGTCACCTTGTGCTGCCCTGCAGGCTGCTTGAGCGGCAGCCTTTCGAACTTATCAAACTTATTAGCCACATCAGCGGCTCCGACCTATTAATAAACTCCGCGTTCAAATCCAATAAAATTTGTTTTATACATTTGTGGCGCCCATTGGAAAACATTACACTGGATATCTCAGAATATTGAAGTCAGCCCCCCCCAAAGTCAAAATACTGGCTCTGCCCCTGGATCAGGACACGTGCAGAAGAGTGAGATGGACAAGACCGCAGTGGCGCAGGAGCGATAGCGATGACATGGATACTCCCTATTATCTAGCAGTGGATACAAAAAATTGGTTTATGGTGATGCTGGCAGGACCCTGTGCTGTGTTGATTGTGCCACTACAGTAAAGCCATCCAATTACTGCACTGCACCGTATTTCTTCAGGGAAATTAATCGGAGTGTTGTTGGCTGCTTTATATGCTCGAAAGTTTAAAGACGAAGCAGTCCCCGGCTCTAGCTCATCTGGGATTGGGGGCCAGTGGCAAGGTGAGAGGTCACCATAACAGTGAAATACCACGAGGGAGAGTGAACTTGGGTGGTGCCAAAGGGACATTTGGTGGTGCAGGGACCACTCTGCCACCCACCCCAGCACCACCCCCATCAGTACCGGCCCTGCGACCCAGTGACATCATCATCTGCAAAATATTAAATCCATTGCAACACGTGTGCCACGATCGTAGAATTTAAAATAAACACACCAAGACTCAATTGCCGAAAGAGATCACATATGCAGTATTTCAATACTGCTCGCAGGTGGTTATATCTGGGCATTTAAATTGAGCACACGATTAAAAAAATGTACAGCCCACGCCACTGCTGGATCTATAAGGCCACCCATGCCATGTTAGTCACGGGGGTTACTTGACCATACTTCACGATGCTGGTGTGTGTGGGTCATTGAAGGGACAGGCCCAGAACCAGTTCCGAGATTATTTGGAACCGATATTAGCTGTGGCCGTTAATCAAACACAGGTCAGAAGGTTTACAGTGCAGTGTGCTTGCCACTGCATCACCTGGGGTGGAGCGGTGGTTAGTGCTGGTGGCGCAGTTATGCTCACATTTAGACACGCGTTATGTTTACAATGCATTACAGTGCAAAAGACCTATAGGCCAGACATCGTAATCTTCATTACATCACATATTAAACTCACTCTGTAGTAATAATGAGTACGTGAGTGATGATGATGAAAGTGATTATGACAAATAATGTTGATGACCGAGATGATGTTCTTTACAGCAATGATGACAACAGAAATAACAATGGCAGAAGTGATGATGGCAGTGATGTTATTGAGTAAAAATGACAGCGATCATGTTTTGATGCTGACCGAAAAGGGAATCAAGATTTATAATGGATATGATTTTTACAATGGCATAATTGGCATCATTGCTACTCCGCTACTGCAATGATTGATGCAGATTTGAAACCAATAACAGCTGATGTTAACTCGAAATAGAGTATTGTTACAATACGGTCACAGAAAATAATACACCGTACATTATGGACAGTACTGTTTAACAACGAGACAAATCAATCCTCTTGCTCAGGTTAAACGATTGCGCCAAAGCAGAAACATCAATAAGATATCTCTACATTGCAATAAATAACCATTCACTTTATGAGAGCGACGTTGAGAATACGATGATGGTGACGGCAATTATGACGACGAGAGGAATGATGTTGAAGGCTACAGCTGTGATGTTAAAATTACAAGTTATATTTAATGACGACATTGATGGTTACGGTGATGATTACGATAACAGCGATGATTGCTACACCAATGATTGAGGGTGGCGGCAGTGACGATGTTGAAGATGGCAGTGATGATGACAGCAGTGATGATGAGTGATGATGTTGAAGATGGCAGTGATGAGTGATGATGACTGCCACGATATTTAAGACAAAAGAAACGATGATCGTATGGCTGTGGACAACACCACCATCAAAACAACAAGGACAAATATCCCCCGTGTAGCCTTAACAGGCTGTAGGGGCAAGTGCTGTTAGCGAGCACCTATGACGGCTGGCACGCAACACGAGGGGGTGGGTGGCCAGCACCACGCCCGACCGCCTTTGTCTCCCTAGTGGCGATGTTTTTCACATCGCACCAGGTACTCATTTGAGGCTGAGTTGACCTAGGGGAGGACGAGGACCGGTTGAGATAATCGTCACCGGTGTTGTTCGCCGTGAGCGGGAATTGAACTCGGGTCGCCGGGTTCGTAAACGCAGCGCGCTGACAACATCACCGACAACATCACCGACAACACCACCACCACCCAACAACATTACCGACAACACCACCACCCAACAACATCAGCGACAACACCACCAACCAACAACACCACCACCACCCAACAACATTACCGACAACACCACCATCCAACAACACCACCACCACCCAACAACATTACCGACAACACCACCACCCAACAACATCACCGACAACACCACCACCCAACAACACCACCACCCAACAACATTACCGACAACACCACCACCCAACAACACCACCACCACCCAACAACATTACCGACAACACCAACAACACCACCACCACCACCACCCAACAACATTACCGACAACACCAACAACACCACCCAACAACACCACCATCACCCAACAACATCACCGACAACACCAACAACACCACCCAACAACACCATCAACAACAACGCCACTAACAACAGCAACTGAAACTCGGACAACGGGGCAAAAAACACACCCGTGGCCAGTCGCGTTCAAAACCACACACAACATCGCCTCGTGTACATTCCAACCTTTATCCAGCACCCCCCCCCCCCCTTGATTGAGGGGGGGGGGTCATTGTCTTATTTTTAAGCGAATTCCCCAATGGAACGTGCTTCATTGGCACTAGCAAAGGACGCAGAATTGACGCGTGCGAGCGATAAGGCACCACACCACCCAACAACATCACCGACAACACCAACAACACCACCCAACAACAACACCACCACCCAACAACATCACCGACAACACCAACAACAGCACCCAACAACATCACCGACAACACCAACAACAGCACCCAACAACAACACCACCCAACAACAACACCACCACCCAACAACATCACCGACAACACCAACAACACCACCCAACAACATCACCGACAACACCAACAACAGCACCCAACAACATCACCGACAACACCAACAACACCACCCGACAACACCAACAACACCACCCAACATCACCGACAACACCAACAACAGCACCCAACAACACCAACAACAGCACCCAACAACAACACCACCACCACCCAACAACATCACCGACAACACCAACAACACCACCCAACAACACCACCACCCAACAACATCACCGACAACACCACCCAACAACACCACCACCACCGCAGGAGACGGAGCGACCAAATCATCTGAGGCGCTGGAATGCGATAGATCGATGGATATAGGTGATGACAGCCGTGAGCATTGACAAACGTGAGCATTGACAAACGTGAGCTTTGCTCACGGCAATGATGATTATGATGATTATTCAGACCGGCCCACCCGGGCCGTCCGCTCACCGTAGTCGTCGTCGCCGCTGCTGCTGACTGCTGCTACACCCGGGCGCCCTCTCCTCCTCCTCCACCTCCGTCTCTTGCCGGTCGCCCAGCTCGACTGCGAGCGTGAGGCTGCTGCCGGCAGCAGGCGAGCCGGGAACTCCGAGTCGAGCGACAAGACGGAGTGGGGACCGCTGACGGAGAGCGACCAGACTCCCCCCCCCCGCGGTCACCATGGCGACCGGACCCGCAGGGCGAGACCACTGCGCTCCCCTAACTGGGGGGGTGGTGGAGATGTGAGATAAAGGCGCAGCCCTGCAAGTGCTTCGCTCACACCACTTGCTCGCAGCAGCTGGGCTTCCACTAAGAGGGAGGCTAGAGAGAGGAGAAATAGAGACCATATACAATATTGTGTCGTATTCTTAGCTCTTTCGGTAAAGTCACGTTGAAGGGAAACAATAAAATATATATAAAACAATAAAAATTATCACGACGTTTCGACCATAACACAAACGGTCGTCATCAGGTGTGTCGGTTTGCAAACCGACACACCTGATGAGAATTTGTATTGTTTTATATATATTGTATTATTTTATTGTTTCCCTTCAACGTGACTTTACCGAAAAAGCTAAGGATATGTAAAGGGGGAGTTGGTGGTGCTCAACGCTTTATCCCAACACAAGCGAGCAAACTGATTGGCTGAGAAACTTGCACGGTGGTGTTTCAAATTCACCACGGTGCGAGAGATCGACTCCAGCCTGCTCACCCGTTACACCACGACAGCGTGAAGCACATGCGCGTTTGTGTGTGTGTGTGCGTGCGTGATTCAATTGAAGTTTATGTCAGTCCTGTTGTCAATCCACCGGTGGATACGGGCCTCCCCACGCCGTGCTATGTTGACCATACTTCACCAGACTGGCCCAGTGTGGGGCATAGACGCTGGGGTATAGCTGCAGCATCAACAATTGATTTTGGGTGCAATTGCCCTCTGCTGAAAACGTAGGGTGATATATTTTTTTATTGTGTCGGTCAACTATTGTCAGGCTGATCCAATTTTAATGTAATTTTATTTTAAAGTTGCGTGTCTATGAGTGATTAACCCTCGAGAAAACCGGCAAAATGTTCACAAATGTTCGCCTAAAGCGCGACGAGATTAGACCATGTTTCTGGATCTCACTATCCCAAGGTGATGCGCGGAGCAACGTTCAATGTTTACTGGGATGTCACAGCAGAAAACCCAATAAACATGCGAGGTCTACCGGTCGCCCAACGTTTGCACGTTCACTTGATAGTACGCGTACGTAAAAAAACCCCTACTACGGAGCACAAACGCGTGGCTGGAAATCGTGAACAGACCCATGCGTATGCATGGCTGTTCTTGCTTGTTATTTCGAGGCACGTATCGATTCCTACACTACGATTCCCGTTGACGCGATTCCAAGTCGCAATTCAAGAAACGCGTAGCTTTTGTCTCGTTTATATTTCTTGTTATTAAATACACTCCCACATCAACCCAAATTGTTCATCGACACATCATTAGTGAGTACTTTTGCTTATGATTTGCATACAGGTGGGCGTAAAATCGTGAGTCAGCGATTCCGTTAAGCACGATTCCACGCGTCTATTCCATATGATGCGCGAACACCAAACAAGATTTGATCCTAAAAATCGATTCTTTTTTTGGCACCACGGTACATGCTAAAATAATCCACGGTGGCTTCACGTGTTTTACAGAATAGTAAACTTACCTATGGCGCGGAACTTATATTAATCGGCAGTAATCCATCATTACTCTGCGTATCTAAGAGATCGTGGGTAAGAGGAATCGATTCGATTGTTCTGAATCGGTACGAATCGATGACTCGGTGTCGCTCTCTAAGATCAGCTGTTTGTAGTGGTGGAGAGCGTGAAAGGTAACAGCGTGAGACCTCAATTGAATTTTAAACTAAAGTAAAAAAACGAATCACAATTATGGATTACAACAACAGCACGTTCTTGTGAGTGTATAAATTTAGTGTTTTAGCAAACCATAAGTCTGCACGTGAGACGTAAGTAAGTAATTCAGCCGACAGTGTATAATAACCCGTATGTCGTGATAAAGCATTGCTTCCCTGAGAAATGTCTACGCTTCAGTTGTGTTGCTGCTTACTTTTAAAACATTGTTTTAAATCTCAAGTGCTATTACGAAGCCGCTTTAATACCGTACTAAAGGGGGACAGCATCGCGTCGTGGTTGTGTATGTACATGTACCAATACTGGTCTGTCATTGACGGTCAAAGAAGCCGTGATACTGACATGTTATCCTGGTCACACAGAGTATCATTGGTATCACTGGCAAAGGGAAGCCGAACCGGTCCTGGGACTCACATTTTCACCAACCCGAACCGACCGGCGTGGTGAAGTATGGCCAAAAGGCCTCTGGCGGAGAGGAAAGGCCTTCATATCTAGCAGTGGCTTGGACAAAAGGGGCTTCTAGATTATTAGATAACTCGAATATGAATTCGCTTATGATCCCCGGAAGCTATCATGTCTAGCCGTCGTACTCATTACTACCGTCTGTATAATTGTTATGTATTGGTTGCTGTAGACTCGGAACGATCGGGCCTTGAGGGTTGGCTGAGCTCGAATGCAGGGAGCACGGCTGGGAATCCAGGCAAGAGGGTAGGCTCCAGCCGATCCCGTGGCTTTTGCCGGGCCTCGCACCATACCCCATGCACGTATTTTTTTTGTTTTTAAAGAAAATGTAACGCGTGCGAGGATATGGAAGCGATGACATCAGTTCGTGTCCAGGTGCTGGGTGGATTATTGCGTCCGAGGGATCGTTAGAGGCGGCGGCGGCGGATTGAGGAGGCCTTCATCCAGCAGTGGATTAACAGATATCGGGGCTGCACATCTACAGCACAGGCGTGGCACCTTGTAACACATGAGCCAGAGTTTTTAGTACGCGTGAAGCCCTTTGTTAATCCACTGCTGGAAGACTTCCCCAGCGTCTTGTGTGTTGTTTGAGCATACTTCACGATGGTTGTTGGTTGCGGGCTTGTGGCGTCCGGTCGTGGTCCGGAATCGAACTCTTAGGGTGGCCCAGGTTCTTAGGTGGCCCAGGTTCTTAGGTGGCCAGGTTCGCCACTCTGCATTATTCGATGTGAACGTATTTTTTAAACTGTGCGAGGTGACTATTTGACAGTTGAAATGCGGTTAAATTGTCGTGTGCTCCGCTTATACCATGCGATTGATTGTCTTCTGCAGAGTGGCCGTTTCCCAGGGAGGCATTAATATGAATTCCTGTAAACCAACGAGGATGAGTAGTAACAGTGATTACTCATTCGCCTATTTTGGGAAGTGATGAGATCGTGGTTAATGTTGCGGGCATGTGTAGGTTGACACCACCCACCACCACCACCACCTCCTCCTCAGAAACCGGGGTCCCTGTACCGAAATGGTATTTTCTTTCTCATTAGCATTGCAAGCGCGGCATGCCATTTTCCCATGAGATTAACACATTCCCATTTGTAACTCTCACAAAAAGGCAGCGTAACATCACCCCATGTCTCTCAGAGAATGGCCCCCGGAAGATGACTTCTCAGAACTGCTTCCGAGCACCCTTCGTTTGTTTTTGTGCGAGGATTTCTTGGTGACCGGACCGAGGCCATCAATTCGTAGCACTTGAGAAACCCGATTTAATCGCGGTGTGTCTGCCCGGACTTGAACCCCGGGTATCAGCGGTACCAGCTCAGTGCCCTCTGGTCACCTCGTTTAGTTCAATTCATTTTAAAAGTTTAGCGTCGTTGATTCTTGTGCGGGTGCGGAGTATAACGTTGCAAATCTATGCCGCAGGATGGTCACCGGTAATAAGCGGCATGGCCTTGCCGCAGCAGCGGCCACGACGCAGACGACGGATCCCCTCGACCTGCTGGCTCTTCTCTCACACGAGATCCTGTGCAAGATATTCGCGTGAGGAACTCGCCTACTGCGACTCCATCATCACGAGCGGCACCACTGTCATTGATGATCAACCGCTGTTACCATAAACGTCGTTGTAGAATGCAAAGTGCATAATCGGCAGTGGTCACCGGAGTCGCTGTCACTGCATCGTAAAACACATTCTCATGCGGAGGGAGCTGGTAGGAACGTTGGGTTGCTCGGTCAATGGCCGGGGTCAACGGTGGCACCACGTGGTGTATTCTGCAAATATGCCCGGCTGTGAGGGCGGGCACAAGCCGGCGTGAGTCGGTTAAATGTTGAGTTTTATAAGGGCACCACGGGGTGACCAGCCCCTCCCCACCCAGCCCCACCCAGCCCCTCCCCACCCTCCCCACCCAGCCCCTCCCCACCCTCCCCACCCAGCCCCTCCTCACCCTCCCCACCCTCCCCACCCAGCCCCTCCCCACCCTCCCCACCCTCCCCACCCAGCCCCTCCCCACCCTCCCCACCCAGCCCCTCCCCACCCTCCCCACCCAGCCCCTCCCCACCCTCCCCACCCAGCCCCTCCCCACCCTCCCCACCCTCCCCACCCAGCCCCTCCCCACCCTCCCCACCCAGCCCCTCCCCACTCTCCCCATCCAGCCCCTCCCCACCCAGCCTCTCCCCACCCTCCCATCCCCACCCAGCCCCTCCCTCCCCACCCAGCCCTTCCCCACCCTCCCCTCTCCACCCAGCCCAACCCCTCCCATTTTTGGATGCAGGACGGACGGACACAAGAATCCCCTGTGGGCTGGTGTAACCAGGAGGTTCCTACCAGTATAATGTACCCTACTATGTATAAAACTGTTTATCCATGGCACACCATGCGAAGGGGAGTAGAGTCAAGGGTGCAATGAATTAAATAAGTTAAAGGAATGGGAACGGAAACGGATGCAGGGGTGGAATATCCGCAAGGTGGACAACGAGGGCACCCTTAAAGATGCGGAGAAAGTAGGAGGAGGGCTGGGCAGGAAGGGGGCGGTAGAAGGCATGACCGAGGCAATTATTGTACGAGAGGTTAATGAGAGGGAAGGGAAGAAAGGGAGAGAAAAGGAAGGAGCTCGCGGTAATGAGCTGCACAGAGCAGCATCTGTTTTCACAGGGGTCAGGAAGAGGGAGTAGGCATTCGTTGTGGCGCGAGGCACGTGGTTTATGGGAGGCTTGGGCTGATTTAGATAGATATAGATAAGCGCATATTTAATTTAAATAAAAAAATATTCACATTTGATTATTTTTGTGTATGTAAGTGGGAAGGCAACAGTTGTTGCCCTATGGATTCACTAATTCCTGCTGTAGGATTGGAATTTCTCCCGCATGCTGTCTTAAGCAGCACAGTATTTTGACCGTGTGGCTTAGAAGCTGTCGCTGTTATAGATGCGGGAGCATAGGAGTATATTATAACAGTGGATTTTTTCCCACACCGCCCTCGGCTGTTCACCACGCAACCCGCAGCCTACGTTTAGACTCACACATCGTATCAGTTGTGACTTTAACCGTTAGCACTGTGATGATGTGCCGTGTGATGTGGTGAGCTGGAAGACGTGTGACGGAGTGTTGGGGGTGGGGGGGTGGCCGGTTTGACGCGGTGTGCTTGGGTTCCAGGCACCTCTCCCTGCGCGAGGTGGTCTCCATGCAGACGCTGTGCCGCAAGCTGAGGGATGCCGCCACTCTCTTCCTGCGCGTCACGCCGTCATTGGACCTGTGCGGGGGCCGGTGGTGGACGTACATGCCTGCCGGTGATTTGTCCCCGTTCGCTCGGCAACTCCCGGTCGTTGTGCGTCGTGTATGGGTCAAGCCAGGTGCTTAATAGGCTCAAGTGATGGCACCATGGTGGCGAGATGTTAACTACCTCGCCTGTTATACAGGAAGTCGTGCTTTCGATCGTCTCCCTGCTGTATGTTTGAAGTTTGCATTTTATTCCGATGGTTGCGTGAATTTTTCTCCATGTAAAACTGTCAGAAATAAATAGTTTTTTCTATCACGAATAATAAGTTGGAGTTTACCTAACCCTGTTTTTTATATTATAGTGTGGAGCATTAAATATACATAAATATTTTTTCACTATTTAGGAACAATTTACCTTCATAATAAAAACATTTATCTGACATGCAAAGGCCATCATAACGGTGCAGTGGTGGCAAATGCTCTTTTGCAGTGCCCCCTTAGGGTGCAGTGCTTGTGATTGGCATGATGTTGAGTTTTGGAAAGTCCTAGATGCCATCAGCAGCAGTTAAATGACCTGCTTCTCTCATCTGGTGTGTGTGTGTGTTTTCTCAGGATTGACAGATGGCCCTCTGTTGTCCCTTATGTCTCACACCCCGGCATTGGTGTGGTGTTACGGCCTGCACCCCTACAGTGTGAATCCACGTCGGACGCGTGTGGGGGATACTCTCAGCATACCCGGGATAACGCAGGCTCTGCAGGCCTGCCCTCGCCTTGCTGTGAGTGCGATACATGGTTTCTATCTCCAGTTCGCACTCAATCTTTCAAGATCCTCCGCGGACGAGGCCCCTCGCCTGCCGCATCCCCTCTCATCTCATTCACCTTCCCTCCACGCACTCTCTGCTCCAGCGACTGAGGCTTTTTGTCGAAGACCTCAGTTGATCCTCGCTCAGTGGGAGGTCACTCATTCTCCCCTTCTGCCCCAAAAGTCTGAAACTCCCTTCCACCAACAGTGGATGCTGTCGACTGTCTTTATCCTCTGCCTAGGACTGAGCGTATTAATAAAATATGACCGCTATTTCTGTATAGTGTCTTTAGATCTGGTCATATTTAGGCGCTGTATAAATCCACATTGTATCATATTGTAACACCGCAATGTGTTGTGTGGTAGGGTTACGATGTGTTATGTATAGCTGTCGTGTGGCCTCCAGAGGCATGGTTTGCCTTGCACGGTGTCAAATTCATTATGCTCTTTGTGATGTGCAGTGCTGTTTTGTTGTTGGTGTGCTGCTATTGTGACATCATCGCTGTGGTGTGATGCACGTGTGCTCAGGGCGTGGAAACCTCCCACCTCCAGGTTGCCGAGGCAATCTGGAAGTATCTGCCGCATGTGGAGATTTTGGGAAAATTTCGGAACCGGAATGGAGGTTTTCCAATTCCAAGAGAAAACACGCTGTGTGTGCCAAGTGGAGCCAGGGTTCAAGCACTGCATCTCGTGGGTATGAAAATTACACCTTGATATACTGAACGTAATCTCAAACTGAAAACCCCCTCAACCTGCATCTTCCATGTTCATGTTAATGATTAGTTATACTAAATGTTATGCTAATAAAATATATCTCCAAAATAGAGGTTTTTGGGTTAGATCGTGTAAATATAAATGTGTCGTTAAACCCGCCACCACCCGGCACAGCTAATTAGTAAGGTTTGTCACGTAAACAGAACATGCCAATTCATTACAAGTACAGCACACCGGTGTGTTGGAGAGTAAACCCACAACATTTACAATTCGAGTACAACGTTTCACCAGTAATTACAACTAGTAATCAGGCGGCAGCCAGAGTTGTACGGTTGTACTGTACTCGTAATTAATTGGCATGTTTTGTTTACATGACAAACCTTACTAATTAGCTTTGTCGGGTGGTGGTGGGTTTAACGACACATTTATATTTTCACGATCGAACCTAAAAAAAGCCTACTACATGCTAAATCAATGGAATATCTGTTTACATGCAAAACTATCTCAGTGTTACGGAACACGCACCTCTGATAAATTTTACACGTTATTAACTGAATTTTAATTCGACTCACAAATGCATTCTCCGTGAACCATACATTTTAAATCTACTCCTTGTGTAATTCATCAAAATGCTAATCGATCACCGTATGTATATGTGTGTGTGTGTGAGCGTGTGTGTACGTGTAGGAGTGTCCATACCAGAGCTGCCTTCAATTCCCTCTCTGGTCTCCCTGCACCTCAAGTGGGTTCGCTTCACTAACCAGCAGCCCTTCATAAACTTCCACTGCCCCAACCTCACTTCCTTCACGATGAGCAACTGTGCAGGTGCACGTCTGCATTCGCATGTCCACAGAAGCACTCTCACACCTCTGTCTGACCCAGTGTGACTTAACAACGATAGCCCGCGTGTTTGTGACGACGTAACAACATTTCTGTGAGCCTATGACCAAATTGCCCGGAACGCGGCCGTTCTTCTTAAATATGAAAAGCAGCAAAACTTCAAGTGAAGATGATTAAGCACAATGCCGGGCGGTGGTGGCTATGCATGTAGCCTGTAATCCAGCACTTTGGAGGCAGAGAGGGTTGGTGGATCGCACAAATGCTGTGAAAGTCCCTTCCCGTGGGTGTTGAGGTGCCATACCCTGGCTCGCCAGGACACGGCAGTAACAGTGAATGGACTAATCGCCATCTGTTTTCATCTGTATGGGGATAGAGTGTTGCCCCTCGCATGTGTGGGTTTTCTCTAGATGCTCTGGTTTCCTCCTACGTGTTTAAAGACTCATCATTGATTGGCTAAAAAGATCTTAAAATAACCCAATCCAGGACCCTCCTGAAAAAGAGTTCTAGGACTGTGTGGCTCTTCTGAATACATATTTTTTTTAAGAAACGGAATTATATAACTATAAACATCCTATACTACACACCATTGAATCTGGGATAAATTATATTACACGTTTACTCTTACGTCTTAAATCAAGATTATTTTTTCAATTGAAGGTCATGGGGGGGTGTGAGGTCTGAAGCAGTGGGGAGCAGTAGTGTAGCAGTTAGCGCACTGCGCTTCAAGCCCAGCATCCTGAGTTCGATTCCCGCTCATGGCCAACACCAGTGACGATTATCCAAATCGGTCCTGGGTCGACTCGGCCTCAAATGAGGACCTGGTGCGGTGTGTAAACATTGCCACGAGGGAGACAAAGGCGGCCGGGCGTGGTTTTGTCCATCCACCCCCTCTTGTGCCATGCCAGCCTTTTGTAGGTGCTCGCTAACAGCACTTACCCCAACAGGCTGTTAAGGCTACACGGGGGATCTTTGTGTTTGTTTGGTGTCTGAAGCACACATACAGCGCTCGTGTGTCCGCCTGACGGTGCAGGCCCCACCAGCTCCCCACGCTACGTCGCGCTGGTAACGGCTCTCGCCGCCGCTCGCCGCCTCACTCACTTGGAGCTGGTCCGCGTGCCGTTTCCCGGCGGGATTTTCCAGCACAACGTGGAGGACAACATCCGTTCAGGTGCGTCCGTCTGTGCGTGACGTATTCGCGCATCCGTCAGCGCGTCATGTGTTGGCGCGTCGTGGCTTGCTTGCCGGCCGCCATGCGGTGTTGTGTCCTGTGTGCAGCGCACTGTGGTGTGTGTTCTTGCCAGGTGCGTTCCGTGCATTGGAGTGCATCGTGTTTGGAGCCTGCAAGTACGCCCTGGAGATTGACCTGGGATACCTGGCCATCGCCTCTGCACAGAGGTTTGTAGCTATGGAAACAAAACGAGATCTCGGTACGATGGGCCCTTGTGGTCTTCTTTCTCGAATGCTGTCACCATTGTGTTGAGTTGGGCGTTTTACTTGGATGTCGTAATCACCCTGCATATTTGTCCCGATTGCGTTATCGGCGTCGCATCACGGGATGGAGTATCCCTTTGGAAAAATCTCACAGAGCAATTCTTCATTTTAGAACGGCCCATGGATATCACAGATATACTCTCCAAAGTGAGCTTTGGTCCACAGTAGGAGGCAGAATTTCCCCACCTTAGCTGCCATTGAGAGTGTAAATTGTCACATAGTGGCCAGTCAAACCCATATTTCTTTTATTTTCAGAGCTGGAAGTTATCCACATTAAGTGTAGAACGAAATATAATTTGATGTTGGTCGAGACCATCAACTCTCGACAGTTGAGCACTTGGTTTTAATCACAGGCGGCCGCCTGGATTTGAACCCAGGATCTCGGCTTTGCCAGTGCAGTGCTTTGACCTCTGAGCCGCTGCTGCTCACTCTTCCTGTTCACCTCCCTTGCCCCTCCGTCTCTGCAGCCTGGAAGAGGTGCGGATGCAGCCGTACTTGAGCAAGGATTGTGTGTTCACCGCCCTGAAGATGGCCGCGATGTCCTTCCCTCAGATGGAGGAGCTGCACTTGGGCCACACAGATGACTTCCATATGCAGAGTGAGCCCTTGATTTCATCATCGTTGTCATCATATTTATCATCGTAGTCTTCAGTAGCATTGCCCTTACTATTGTGTGTTGCAACAGCAGCCGTCGTGATTTATTTGGGAAATTAATGAAGCAAGCAGTCCGTCCGTACGTTACACGTGAAAGCGCACCGTAAAATCGTTCCTAAGGACAGGCTGTTGTGTGTCGGTATCACAACTGAAAAGTATCGCATTTTGTAAATGATCCCCAATGGAAAGTTACGGAAGGCAATTATGATATCTTAAAGTAGGACACACCCAACAAACCAAAATATCAGTTATCTTTCAAGAACACACCTTGCCTCTGAATCCCGGATTGTCCCAACGTCCGTTTGAAGACTTGTTAACCCTTTTTCATCTATTATTGAACCCATAACCGGTAACAGTCATCGATGACTAAAATAATTGCGTAGCATCAGCTGTCGTACTACTGTGTGTTGACAGCGTGGTATACGCCCGACGAGCTGGTGGAACTGGGATTGGCTGACGTGTCCGAGTCTCCGTGCACCCTCACCGACCTGGGAGTGAACATGGCCGGAGAGGTGTTTCCCACCCTCAAGCACCTGAGCCTCTACAACTGCCCCCACCTCCATTTGCCGCAGAGCTGGGTGACAAGTGAGTCAGCGCGTCCCCCCCCCGACTGTGACGTACTCTGGCGGCAACCGCACGACACTGTACTCAAGGCTCGCCGACGCGTCTTATAGGGGCGCAGAGTGGCGTGGTAGGGTAGCACCTGGTTATAAACGCAGTTTTACCCGCGGTATGAATAGACGCACGCACATGTGAATATTCCTGATTGGCTGCGGCGTTTCGTTCAACAGCAGAATTATTCACCGCGGTGACCGTGGAACCGTCCTTCTTCCTCTATTCACTGCCCCCCCCCACCACCACCGCCCCATCCCCAGATTTGGCTCCTTGGCGCAACCTGACGGAGCTGACGCTGACCAAGTGCCACGCAGTGCGATTGGCCTCACTCGCCGGCCTCGTGGAGCGTCTGGGCAATCTCATGTACCTCACCCTCCAGGACATGTTCAGAGAGCTACCCAGGGTGAGAAGAGGAATAACCCCCACACATTGCATCCCCAAACCCTCCCGTCAGCCGGGCGTGACCTTGCACGTTTGTGTGAGTGTGCGCGGCCAGGGGTCAGAGCACCGAGCTGACCCCGCTGAGCTCCTGGCTTCCAATATGGGCCTTGTGGATTAACCCAGGTTGTGAAATTCTAGTAAGTTGATGGTCTCAGCCCCATCAGCAATAATTGTTGTAAAAACCGAACAGTCGTATTAAATATAGTTATGTTTTGGATTTTGGGCGAAAAGTCCAGATCATAAAAAAAACGCGAGTTTGGTTGTCTCGCGACGAATATTACTCTCGGTGGCAAAGCGAGTGGGAAAGTGATGCCCTCTACTGTGTGGAGGTCACCTGAGGGGTTCTCCGAAGACGTTATGTGATGTCCGCTTCCGCGGGCCGTTCTCTAACCCCAAGAATTGCACTGCTGTGCAAGAGATTAGAGCGGATTCTTTTGCCTCGTGATGTGACGTCGCTAGCACGACTGGGATACCACCGAGGGGGAAACTTATCCAGACAGAGGTCTTGCACGCCGCGCGGTGCAGCGGCATGCTCGCGGCCCTCGTGCACCGCACGCATGCCGCGCATTCTCGCTGGCCACCGCGTGTGAACTCGCGCCCCCGTGATCTCTCGCTCTCTCGCCAGGGCTGCGCTCGCGTCAACCTGAGCGCGGGCACAGGCATCGACCTGCTCGCCAACAACAACAACCACCACGACAATCGCGTGCCCGCTGAGCAACCGCCGCCGCCACCGCCGCCGCACCAGCTGCCCAACTTCGCGGGAGCGGAGCACGTGAGGAACGTGGCGGCCGCCGCCGCCGCTGCCGCCCCTCCCCCTCGCAACGGCAGGGACGACGACGGTGGCGGCGGCGGCGGCGGCGGCGGGGACGCCGCTGACGATGACGCGGCGCCGGCGGCGGCAGGGGCGGCCGCGGCGCGCGGCGCTAACGACAACGATGACGCTCTCTTCGCTTGGAACATGGAGGTGGCCGTAGCGGCGGGGCAAGGCGACAACGCGCCGGCGCCGCCGCCTGCTGGCAGGAGGCACATGGTCACCAGGAGGATGGCACAGCAGTCCGGCCGTCTGTTCGCGGGTAAGATGCACGGCTGGGCGTGGGCGGGGATTTGGGGAATATATTTCTGGTTCTTAACAAGAGGCTTTCAAATTCCATGCACGGTCAGTTGTTGGAGGTTACAGGCCTTTCACTGACCAGGGTGGTGAAGTATGGTCAAATAACCCCCCACCATGACCCACATGGCAGGCGGGGGGGAGACCCTTATCCACGTGTGTGTTCGTGCATGTGCCGTGCAACTTGTTGGCGCACTGCGCTACAAATCCAGTAACCCATGTTCAATTCCCACTCATGGCAAACCAACATCAGTGACGAATATGCGAACCGGTTCTGGGCTTCTAGGTAGACTCAGCCTCAATTGAGTACCAATTGATGAGGTCTGTGAACATCGGCATTTGGGAAACAAAGATGGCTGCTCGTGGTACTGGCCACACTCCCCCTACCTCCCTCTCAAGGGTGTGCCGTGCTGGCCTTCAATAGGTGCTCGCTAACAGCACTTACCCCAACAGTCTGTTAAAGGCTGTATGTGGGGGGATCATCTTTGTTTTTTTGTTTGCGTGCAGTTATTTAGCATAATTTTATTTTGCACCCTGCGTAGGTGCCTCGGGGAGAGGGCGAGATGGGCGGGGTCTTGGTAGGAGCACAGTCACGCCGGACTGCTCACAGGTGAGGTGTTTGCTTGCGTGCATTGCATGAAATCGGTCTCTGTGGGTGTGCATAGGGGAAACCTGGAGACTCTTTTGAACAACTCGCTGTTGAACTCGTTTTGCGAGTGCGTTCAGGTGCTGAAGCTGCGATCCTCTTCCCTGCTCGGGGTCACACTGTTGGCCTGCGGGCTGTCCGACCTCAGCTTTGTCAGCTGTCCTCGCCTGCAGTTCGTGCAAGGTACAGGAATTTCACTGCTCCGAGCCGCTACACATTCCTTGGCGCCTCATGCCAAGCAGCCCTTCTCTCTCTCTGGGGGCGCTGCAGTGGCGAGATAGATGTTAACTATCTCACCTGGTATATAGGAGGTCGTGGGTTTTTTCTCGACCCTGATGCCCGTCTATTTGGAGTTCACCGTGTCCTTCAGTTTTTTGCTCCACATTTAGAAACATGCGTTTAGAGTATTTGGCTGCTCTAAATTTCCATGTGTCCAGGTCGCTTCTGAAAAAAAGCTCTATAGCTCATTGCACCTTACCTGGTAAAACAAAAGTTTAGTTTAATTCACCTTCCCCCCCGACTCCGCCATTCACGTTTCATGATTCAGGGTCATGCTTGGATTTGAAAATCGATTCTGTTTTTGGTTTTGTGTGTACTGTCTCATTTGTCGGCACGCAGTGATGCGTCCATTAATTCAGTGAATTTGATTCGTGCACTCATCATGCATGCATTGAATCATGCGCATGAAAATGTTTTCAACATTTATGCAAACATTGCCATTTAGTTGCATTCAAAGCTTACGCAGCATATGCACACAAACATTTTGAATTAGAGACATTGCAAACGAGACGGTTAAAACAAGAGAAAAATGTATACACTTTTACATCGGATAGTGACCCCGAATCATGTCACTGGGTGCGCGTGGGTGAACGGAGTTAGAGTATCAATCGTTGCACGCCTGCTCGTCGTCCGTCTCGTTCATTCCGTTACCACAGACGTAACGTCCGCACGCACATTTAAACACAACGCGCTTGTCGTGAGCGTAACAAAATGTACGATTACCTATTAATCATCGTACACTTTGCGCGTGTGCCCTTTTGCATGCCGCGTGCAGCGTCGCGGTGCCCCGTGCTGTGCCGCGTGTCGCTGGGAGCCGCGAGCGAGGGCACGTCGCGCCTCGTCGTGTCCCGCTGCCGCCACATGTCTCCCGTTGACCTGATGGTCACAGCGCTGCGGCTCCCTGCCACCGCCGATCGCTACCTGTGCTTCACCATCCTGACTCACGTGAGTGCCTCTCTCGCGGGTGCCGTGCCAACGGCCTCATGAACAGCACCTCACCTCGCAAACAGTCTGTGTAGGCCACACCGGAGGGATCTTGTCTCCGTGCGTGTGTTTGCTTCACGGCCATGGTGGCTTCTAGTATATTTGAAGCTGTCCTAGGCCTACTAGGCGGACTTGGTTTTAATTAACTATACGATGTGGTAAATAGTGTAAGCATTCCGCACCTCCGATTGGCACGGTTAGCTATATACGGGTGCAAAAGAAGTTCAACATACATACACCGAGGATGCAAAGGCAACGAGGCATGGTGTGACCACACCGTGCCACCACTCATGTGCCGTGCCATATTTAATACGTGCTCACCAACGGTGCTTGTCTCTGCCGCAGCCTAGATGCTAAATGGATGGGCGTATCTAATCCAAAACAGATGGCCCTGATCGAAATCGAGAAGGAGGCGTTTGCGTGCAAGCGTGCCTCCTACCTGGTCGTGCTGCACACGTTCAGCGACATTCCTGACGTGCGCACAAATACATTTGTGTGCGAGCGCATGGAGGCCCTGGCCAAGGCGCACAGGTAAGGGAGAGGGGACGCACACGGGAGCTCACTTCATGTCGCAAACGCCCAGCGACATGATAAGATAAGCTAAGGCTCGTTAGAAATGCAGGTGCCCGGATGGGCAATGGTTGGCATTCAATGAAAGGCGTCAGTCCCCATCTTCTGCGTGTAGGATTTTTTTTTTTTTACAAATGCAGTCTTTGTTTTTGGCTAGGTACACGGTGATTTAGCGGTTCATAACACACAAGGGCTTTTTTGTAAACTCTTTGTCAGCGTCTGTTCTTGGCATCTAATGAATGCCCTTGGCTGTGCTCTCAGGGAATACGAAGAATGCGTTCTTTTTAACCGTGGTCAAGGAAAAAAATGTAGGCATCCACCATGTTCTTCGTACAAACTGAAATACTGTGCTCAGGTGACCCGTTCACACAACCCCCCCTCCCATCTCCCCCCCGCCAACGCTCGCTCACACTCAGGGAGCTGCTGCAGTTGCAGGGTTTGTCGAAACCTGCAAATACGAAACCTCTGCAGAATTGTCCAAAGAGTGGAAAGCGCATCTTCCAAGGTGACCGAGCGCCCACCGTTGCACCGCGCCAGCAACGTCACACGTCCGGTGATGTTGTCCGGACCATCGTGCACGTGTGTGACCTTTGCGTGAACACATGAGCGTGTGTGTGAGTTGGGTGTGCGAGACAAAAAGTGATGACCCCCCGAAAAACTATCGTAATAATTTTTCTCCCATTGCTAGTTCTGACATTGGCAGTTCTATTTTGATTTAAAGCTTTCGTGACTGCAGTAATTCGTATTCTTAGCTCTTTCGGTAAAGTCACGTTGAAGGGAAATAATAAAATGTTATTGTTTTATATATTTTATTATTTTATTGTTTCCCTTCAACGTGACTTTACCGAAAGAGCTAAGAATATTGGCAGTTCTGTCTTGTGTAAAGAACTGCCCGCGACGTGTGGCTTTCACAAGTGTGATCTGCACTCATTCTGCTCGTGGTCCGCAGGCAAATTGGAGGGCGTAAACTACCGGCTAGCGACAGACTTTCCCTGGCTACAATTTGTGAAGTTGGAAGATGTCAACCCTAGCTGTGCCATCCCAGAAGGTGACTTACGCACGCATGCACATACATATGCGTTTGCTCAAACGTTGGCACCTCCATACCAAGCCTCGGTGAATTTACCTTGCACTTTGGTGCACGTGTTGGGAGAATGGGTGTGCCGGTTATCTCAGTCGGTCAACCCATAACACTTGGGTTTGCTCCATGACCTGCTAGCGAACTTGATACATTTCACATGGCCGAAAAGTGTACCTAGCCTGGTGTGAGAGCTGTGATGGCGTCACCGTCACTTCGTGGCCGGCTGGCGGCCGTTGCTGCTGTTGGCATAGTGGTTGGCGTACAGCGCTACGATCCCTGCCAGCTGAGTTAAATTCCCGGGCACAGATAACATCAGTGGCAAATGTATTTGAACCCTATCCTGGACTCACCTAAGTCGACTTAGAATAAGTGTATATCTGTTGCGGTGCGCAATAATTGGCGTGATAGAATACAAAGGAGGGTTTGTTAGATACTATAACGTGCATCTGTTTGGGCATGGTGCTGGTCACATCGCTGTGCCGGCCTTATAAATAAATAAACTGAAACTATACAAATTTACTGTTTGTTTGATACAGCTCTTGTTTATAAGCGACTCGGCCACAAATGATAGTTCAACGACGTGGCTTACCATATGGAAATGTATAGCAGCCAAATACTCTAAACGCATGTTGATTCTGAATGTGGTGGGAAAAACCAGAGGACAATAATTGTGCACGAACAGCACTTTCTCCAGCAGGCACCTCCTATTAGCACGGTTGGCTACACACGGCGCTCGGTTATACTGGGGAATCTTTGTTTTTGTGCTTGTGGCAGGCGTGCGTGAGAAAGTGCTGGGCAAGCTTCTGGGCCGGATGCACTTCCCCACACACATGGTGGTGGCTGTCCTGCAGCACGGAGTCCCGGCTGAAGATGACTGACGTCCTCAGAGGGTGCGCGCTCATCAATGACGCTTGGGTTGATGCGGATAAAGCACCCGCAACCAAAATGATGAGATATTTATTTTAAAAATGCAATGTTTGTAACTTAAATGTATAAAAAAACACGTACCTTGGCTTGCATAACGTTTTCAATTTTGTGGTTTCCAATTTATTGCTTGGAAATATACACAGCCCCCTATACATTTCCGCTTTTTTTTTATTTAAACCAAAAATATATAGCAAGAAAATCTGACATTTGCTGTTAATGCATTTTTTGCGTGAATTTTTTTTCTATACTTGTGTTTTACATTCTGTATACTGTACATATTACAATATATCATTTATATAGTCTTGTTTGTCATGGGTTAAACCAACAATCACGTGAAAATATCCATGCACTCAAATAATGGTGTATCATCAACACATGTTAAATTTTGCCTGGAATCGTATAAAATTGCACGCATCTCTATAGGTACGTGCAAGTGTGCTTGTGTAGATAGTGTGGTTGTACATCAGATTTGGATTTGTGCGATTCTGCATACGTGTACATATGCGTACATATGTTTGTTTATGCATGTGTATTTCTGCAACTACGTATGTATATGCATGTACATATGCGTGCAAATTTGTGTACATACCGGCACGTTTGCATACACGTGCATACGTCAAATGACACCGGTATGCGAAGAGGGCAGGCATACATTCTCACATTTGCGCGTGCACACGGCAATACAACGGAGCCTAAATACAACCGCGTCTCGAGATGCCGTTCAAAACAGTGGGCGGGGGGAGGGATTGCGACATCGTAGGAACCGCTGCAAAAGGAAGGTAACAGAAATGTTGCATGAAAAGTTGCATTTGAAAACACTGCGTAAAAGACGCGAGACGGGCGAGGAGTCGAAGGAAAGCTTTGACCGTGAACTTTAACGGAGTCCGCGCTACGGATGACGCGGGAGTTAATGTCAGGTTCCTGGAGCAGAGACGGGCTTCTATTTGTTAAAAAGTGATGCCATTTCTATTTGTTTCCCTCCATGAATTAATGCTCGACTAAAACTAGCCAATTTTTGTAATTATTTCTTAAAATGTAATTTATATGCAATTTTGTTTGTGAAACAATATTTTTAAATGACAACAAATAACAGTGCTGTTTTAAATTTTGATTTAAAGCTTTCGTGACTGTAGTAAAGTCACGTTGAAGGGATACAATAAAATATATAAAACAATGAAATTCTCACGACGCCTCGACTGCAACACAAGCAGTCATCAGGTGTGAAAACCAACATCTGATGGTGACTGCTTGTGTTGCAGTAGAGGCCTTGTTTCCCTTCAACGTGACTTTACCGAAAGAGCCAAGAATATAGTGCTGTTTTATTGCATCCCAGCCAAATCTCGCATCACTGTTATAACAAATGACAGGTGATGGTTCCAAGGTCAGAGCACTGAGATAGCACTGCTGTAGTCCATAGTTCAACTTTCAGCTGCGTGTGAATAAAGCGAGGTTCTTAAATGTGATTCGATGGTCTCAGCCCAGCTAGCCAATAACAAAAAAACCCCAATTAACTTGAGTTTTTGTACTTAATTAATTTGGGAAAACTCTGGCACTGAGAAGTATTAGTCTTGGTTTGAGTGTCATGCGATGAACTTTATTACACTGTAGCACAGTGGGTGTGAATGTGGTGTGTGGATTCGAGGCTGTGGCAAAATTCTTATAAAATTCATGAAACTGAGAAAAGTAAAAAACAGGTTTCAAGTTTATTTTGTGTAATCAGAAGAGGCCAGGACGAGTCTCATTTGCGAGAGTGACCTGGGTCAACATGTGACACCTTTTATGAAATTGGCTACATTTTACATATTTCCCCCCAAAATTGAAACTGCAGTGGTAAAACCCAACAGAACATGCAATGTTGGGCCAACGTTGGCCTGTGGTTGGAGCCGTTGAATCAATGTTGGCAAAAATATTCCATGTTTACTGGGAAGCCAGTATTTTAAATATGGCTTTAAATATTTTTTTGTAAAAAATATACTCGTCTTACATTTTTTTCTCCCCCCCCCCCCCTCTCCATTATGCAATAAAACTAGCATTTGACCATGAAATTTCCAAAAGTTGGCTTTTATTGCATATTGATGCAATGATCACAATAATTTTCTTTAAAAAAATAAAGTACGCTTTGTGTATGGATTTGTGATTGTCCCTATATGTTGCGTGTGGACCGACATAATACAGAACCTCGCCAAACGCGTATTTATCGAACGCGTGTTTCGGCTGTACACGGTTCACTAATTTGGTTTGTTTTCCGGAACACGGGGTGACGTTTTGGCTGCACGTTGTTTGACGCTGCGATGATTCTCATCTCCGCGTCGAAAAGCTGTGCCCCGAGAGTGCTGCATCCGAAGGTGTGAATGAATCGACTGTGAGTACGATTTATTTACCATGTGTGTGCTTTAGCGTGACAATGTAACACGCAGAACAACACAACTGCTGCTTGCATCTAGCCGTCCAGTCGTTGACGACGTGAGCCATGCGAACGCCGAGATGGCGAATCATGAACGGTTAAGTGGCAGAGTCAGGGGCGAGCGTCGGGCTTGGAATTCAGAGTCAGGGGCGAGCGTCGGGCTTGGAATTCAGAGTCAGGGGCGAGCGTTGGGCTATTAATTCAGAGTCAGGGGCGAGCGTTGGGCTATTAATTCAGAGTCAGGGGTGAGCGTCGGGTTGAGAATTTAGAGTCCGGGGCAATAGTCGAATTGAGAATTCAGCGTCCAGGGCAAGCTTCGAGCTGGGAATTCAGGGGCCAGTGGCGGGTTGAATTCAGAGTCGGGCGAGCGTCGGTTTGGGAATTCAGAGTCTGGGGCGATCGTCGGGTTGAAAATTCAGAGTCCGGGGCGAGCTTCGAATTCAGAGTCAGGGGCGAGCGTCGGGTTGAAAATTTAGAGTCCGGGGCGAGCTTCGAATTCAGAGTCAGGGGCGAGCATCGGGTTAAGAATTCAGAGTCCGGGGCGAGCTTCGAGCTGGGAATTCAGAGTCGGGGGCAAGCGGCGGGCTGGGAATTCAGAGTCCGGGGCGAGCGTCGGGTTGAGAATTCAAAGTTCGGGGCCGGCGTCGGGTTAAGAATTCAGAGTCCGGGGCGATGGTCGGGTTTTGGAATTCAGAGTCCGGGGCGAGCATCACGCGTGGGTGTCGCGGTGCGGGAAGAGGAATGGGAGACGTGAGTTTAGTGTTGAGATGAAATTTAAAAAGAGTGCACACACAAGAAATTTAGATCAATGCAGCATCATTTAGTACAATACTAATTCCTTTAGTACAATACTAATTCATGTAGAATTCATGTAGAATTAGTTGAACAAAGAGGGAGGGGTGATAATTTCGGACCCAGGAATGCAACCCAATTTTTCCCATTCGTCGAACGGGGTTTTGCCCAAGAAGGCATTTTCTAGGAACGTAACCCCCGCGTTCGGCGAGGTCTGCCTGTACACTTAACCAGGGTACGCACAGTTCAGTATGTCATTGTTGTAAACAAAAAAATATGTTATTAATGTTAACTCATTCCTGGTAATATAACTATCCAATTGTTGTAAACATTTAAAAAAATTCTGAACCAAAAATCACTGGCATACTCTCATCAGCTGAAAACAAAAGTCAAATTATTACTTTCAACTTATTTAACAGCTCGTCAAGACCAAGCTATAATTTAGACTTAAATAGGTCGTTCATTGACTTTCACAGTTGCAAGAACGGCAGGCGCGTATTACTGATTTTCATCAATTAGTGCATCGGTTCAAGCAAACCCGGCACTACTGCTGATGAGCGACACACCTATGAATCCACCTGTTCAGAGTTTTGCTTGTGTTGAACCAAAGCTGCTGAAACTATGCACTCCCAGACGGCCGTGTTGCTGATGGATGGATGGCTCTGCTCTCTGAAACATTACCCCAGGACATAAAACAACGTTGGGCCAACGCTGGTTGAACCACAAGCCATCCGGGTCAACGTTGACATGTGGTTGGACCAACGTCGGTAAACTCACGTAGGTATAAAATAAAATAATTTATTTTACAAATAATAAAATAATTTGTTCTAAAATATTTAACTTTTATTTTATACCTACGTGATGACTTTACCGAAAGAACCAAAGAGTATGGATCCCTGCAGTCACGAAAACTTCAAATCTAGCGTGAAAGTTGTCATGTTCACCGGGGAGCTGTTGCGATTGTCCCATTAAGTCCCATCCTCGGCTATTGCCTTGCAGAAACCAAATATTGTATCCAGGTCTGTGTTTCTTGGCTGAGAAAACAATGACTGTATTCAGTAATGTATTATTCAGATTATTTTTTTCCTGCTATAAATGTTCACACGATAAGCCCACTTCGTTGAGCTATCATTTGTGGCCATGTTACTCCACCTGGTAACGTAAGAAAGTTTCGTTTTATATATTTTTAAGCGATGTCTACATTTCCTATACTTTGCACTCCCTATAGTTTTTTTTGTATCGCTTGCTCTAACGTTCTGATGCCCGTGCCCCTATTGGTCTTCTGTGAAAAAAAGAGCTTTATAGCTCATCGGATTCCTCATAAATATTCTGATATAACCACCAAAGCGTCACTCTGCAACGCTATTACACCCTTAAGCTCGCACAATCTACGGAAACATGTCTAACAACCGAGAACCTACTACTAATATTATAATCATGATCATCGGGTTGTGATTGCGCGTTCCTCTCTATAAAGAATAAAATGTTAAAATAAACGTTTCGTGGGGCCACCCTTTCTCCGTACAGGCACCACGCGCGCCGCGGCCACCACAACGCCGCGGGCGGGGTCCTCGCGGCGGCGATGGGGGAGGGGGGGAGTGGGGGTCATAGGTCAGCGTGACGCGTGCGGACGGAGCGCCGTGCCGACTCTGCTTGAACTTGGTGCGATCGAAGCGGCGAGCGGAGAACAATCGCGAGGTCCACGGCGTTACACGAACGAGCGGCGGCGGCCAGTAAACATCTTGAGCCCAGGGGGCCACTTCAGGGGAGGCTTTCAGCAACTTGGAATCGACGGCGATTTGGCAAAGGTGAGGGCAACGCGTGGTGGTGGTGGACGAGGAGGAGGCCTCAAACTCGGCGGCGTTTCGTTTACCACCCCGAACGACTTAGTAGAGAGCTAAACCACAGTACACAATAAACATTTGCACGGTGGTTGTGAAGAGGGTCGTCATTTAACGGGGACGTCGCAAGGTTGAATGGGGGGTGGGGAGGCTCGGAGCGGGCCCCAGACGAGAGCCGCGCGACTCACGTGGGCGCGGGTTGCTCGTTCCGGCCACACGGGCTCCTACCACACTCGCTATCTCTCTCATATACACACACACGCACGCGCGCGTGTCATGTACAAGGGCCGTTGCCCGAAACGTCCGTTTTATGTTTATGTACACTTATTGACGGAGCGTGTTGAGTTTTTTTCCCTTCCTGTGATGATTTTTGAGTTTTTTTTGCCACCACTTTCAACGCGGCAAGTCACGGAGTAGTTTCATTGCAGTCAATTAAATCGCACACGCCAGCGAGCGATTCAATGTGGGACATTACTCACATTAATTTGGGTTTTTTTGTTGCCAAGAAGCTCGTGGGTCTGTGGGGTGTCTTAACGGGTGTGGTTTGGTTCGCATTGCAAGGCCGCACGTAATCCACGACCTCTGTGCAGTTTTAATTTAGAATTGCATCTGTAGTGGTATTCATTTAAATCACGTTAGTATACAGTATTAGTGATCGTTGAGGTTTTTTGTTTGTTTCTCGTATTCACGACAGTGATGAGATTTGTGTGTTTTATTTAACGCAGGCGAGAGTGGGTGCCTGAATGGCGTGGCATTTGTTTTATTTTTGTCTCGCTATGGAATAACTTAGCACGGGGCACGTCACGCAATGTCCATCGTGGCTGGCCGTTATCATCCATCATCGCAGTGCTGTAATAAAGTAAAATGACATTCTGTATTAAAGCTTTGCCGTCTGCTGCAAGGTAGACATTAACGACGTCATCGTCATACGAATGCGTCCGTGCATTATGCACCACCGTCGGTCTCGTGGCGCAAGCAAGAGCGGTGTGGAACAAATGTTTGCTCATGTCTCGGTTGAAAAACTCTACATTAAATAAAACGTGGTCTCACCCGGTTAACGTTAAGTGGCGTTGTACAGTACTACATATTGTCCTTCAGATGTACTGGCCTCGGTCATAAGAAAGTGGAATTTACTCCCCCCCTCCCTCCCAAATTGGCTCAGGATCGCCAAGTGAGGTGAAAACCTCTACGCCCTCAAGCAGCACGGCGCGCTCCTGCTAGTGTCCTTGCATCAACTCACCCTCCACTCTGTTGGCTACATTGTGGGAATTTAAGAATCGATTCCTGTTCCTATAAGTGCCCTCAGTCTCGGCTGTACTGTCTGATTTGGACGGTCTGCGGTTCTACTGTCTGCTTTGTACGTGTAGTATAGTATTATATTTCCTCCTCTAAAACTCAGTGTGGCTCATTCCAAACAGTACCGCAATTGTTAAGTCGGAAATTTTTTTTTCGTGCAATTAAGATTACGTGCCTGTATCTCGAGCGTGTGAATCAGTTTACATCGATACACCACGCATTGTACTGTTGACTGCTGGATAAATATCTACCCAAGCCGTCACCATCTCTCACGGCATCGCGATGCATCAGTCCATGTCCATCTAGCCACCTTCGCGCGATACCATGCCATTGATCCATCCTTTTGGCTGCTGCTCCGTCAAAGTCTCGACCGCCGGACCTAAACGTCCCATTGCCTTCGGATTTTAAATGGCACTTTTACTCACCAGGGGGCGCCCACTTTGAGCTCGGCTCACAAATCGCACCGACCCCAGACCACCGCGCCTCGCCCCAACGCTGGGGCAGGAGCAGAGAGTCGAGACCAAGCGTGCGTCTCACCTTCCCAGCCGAAGATGTCCGGAACCACAGAACCCGCCAAGGCCAATGTCTCCTACCCCATGAAGGTTCTCTACTGCGGAGGTATGTGGACTCAGGGCTACGGTGCAGTAGCGTAGCGTGATTTAAAGTGTAAACGTTATCGACCATTTGTGTGTTTTTTTTCTATTCTCCCAACTGCAGTCATGTGCTTCTCCACGTTTATTCCCACGTTTTGGATTTTCGGGGGCAGAGTGGTGGCGCAGTGGTTTGTGTACTG